TAGGCTTGGTCTTTAACAGCAATTAAAAAAAAAGAATGAGGCTTCTGTCCCATTTCTTCAACAGTGTCGTCCTCTTCCATTGCATCAGACTAATGACATCCCCTAACAGATATTCAATTCTTCTAGACCAAATTTCTGCGAAAGATATCCCACACAAGATCCCAGAGATGAACCCCATCCCAACAACAAACCAGAACCACCCCTCTAATTCCTCCGCCTCAGAAGGATCCTCCGAAGCTACACAAGCCTGCAACTGGTGTCCGCACAGCCCCGAATTGTTCTCGAATCTAGATGCCGGAAATAACCAAAGCTGCTTCGTCTGTGGTATCGGGCCGCTGAGACTGTTGTTTGAGAGATCAATGTCATTAAGCAGAGGCAGTGACGCCAACGACATCGGAATTTCGCCGTCGAGTGGCTGTGAGACAGGTAGACGACTCCCAGCCCTGTAAGATTTCTAAACATGTCGGGGATAGTTCCGGTTAGGTTGTTGTATCCGAGATTGAGGTAGGACAAGGAGTGCAGGTAACCCAGGCTATGGGGGATCGATCCGGACAAGAAATTGGAAGATAGATCCAAGTATACGAGGCTGCCCTGGGGCTTTGGTGTCTGAACAACTGAGATGCTGATGAAACTCACCAACAAACAAGTGTTCGGATCCAGGAATCTCACCAGGTTTTCTGGTCGAATTCCCTTGAAATATAGTAATTTTACAGCTATTCTGCCATACTTTCCACACTTATTTTCTTCAGCTGCTTTCTTCTCTCCAGTGTACCTAACTCTGAGAACTCGGTTTCTGGGATTTGCAAGTTCTGTCGGGATGTTACCCGAAAATCGATTGCTTCTTAAATTGAGCTTTATAAGGCTACTGCAATTGCCAAGCTCGTGGGATAGCTCCGGTGAGGGAATTGTGACTCAGCTGCAGAATGCTGAGTTTTTGGAGGTTCTGGATGTTGGCTGGGATTTCCCCGTGTAGCTGATTATCACAGAGGGATAACCAAGTGAGATTGGTGCAATTTGTGAGTGATTCGGGAAATACTCCCGAGAATTGATTGTTGTTGAGAATAAGTCTCTGCAGATTGCCTCCATTTAAGCACATGCCTTTCGGGATTTCACCGGAGAAGTTGTTTCCCCACATGATCAAGTCGGAGAGTTTTGGTAGCATCCATACTTCCAGTGGGATGGATCCACTTAGATTGTTCAGACTAAGATTGATTACAATCAAGTTAGTGTAATTTCCTAAATCAGAAGGTATTGATCCAAATAGAGAATTGCCTGCGAGCAGTAATTCCTGTTAAGAAAGAAGATGAGCAAAGTCCAGAGGGTATATTTCCAGTGAAGGCATTGGAAGAGAGGTCAAGCACTTGAAGCTGAGTACAGTTTCTTAGAGACATGGGTATAGGACCAGTAATGTCAGTGAATGGAACTTGGAGAATTTTGAGCTTAGGAAGAGAGCTGATTGCGTTGAGAAAATTGCTGAAGAGCTGATTTTGGCCGAGATTGAGGCTTTGCAATTGATTGCATGATGTAAAAGAAACTGGAATCCCCCCAGAAAGTTTATTTCCAAAAAGATCAAGATCATGCAGAGTCCCACTAGTGGAATTCAGTTCTGGTGGGATTTCACCAGAAAAGTTATTATTTGCCAAAGTCTGATGCGTCAAGTTTCTAAGATGTCCCAATTCAAGCATCAGACTTCTTTGGACAGGTTGAGCATCTAAACGCTTGCACAACTCCCAAATTCAAGCATTGAGAAGTTACCACTTAAGTTGTTGTGAGAGACATCCAGAAACTTGAGGGACCTAGGTATATATGAAGGAATGATGGTGGAAGTTTCTCCTCCTGGAACTGATGGATTTCTGCAGTCTAAGAAGCTATCAGGTTTTGCATAAAATTTGCTTTTAAGATTTACAGCCTCACAGCTTGGAGAGAAGTATCTGAACATTGAGAAATCCAAAATCTGGTTGTTTGAGAGATCAAGCTGGACAAGCGAAGGTCCAAAGTTGAAACTAACTCCTGGGATTGAGTTATGTGAAAGATTTACAGAAACCAATTGCTTGCAAGCAGTGAAAAATGTTTCAGAGATCGGGTCTGACAAGTTACTGATTGACAAATCAAGTGTTTCAAGGGCGCATGAATGAGAAGAGTTATTGAGGAACAGGTCTCTGGAGAATGAATTTCCACTAAAATACAGATACTGGAGATTTTCCAGGACACTAAGATTATTGATATGCAAATGGCCAATCAGGCCAGCATTGGTGAAGTGAGTGCATGAACTTTTCCAGGAGGGGAGCAGATGACACCATGCCATGGGCAGAGACTGGGATTCCTGGGAGTCCAATCAGCCAAGAAACCTTTGGGAAAACATAAAATGACATACATCCATTGTTCCTTACATTTCAGAGCTTTTTTCATTTTTGTTATGTAAGGTTTTGGAATTTGGATATCTTCATAATGCAAGATGAGGGTGAGGCTGCAGCAACATAAGCAGAGTTTGATGAGAGCTTGTATGAAAGTTCCAAGCTGAATGAGAGAAACCTGAAAGACTTCTATTGAAAGGTTTCAGTGGTTTCCGAAAGAAAAAAAAAAAAAATTAGAGATGGGAATCATGTCTGAAAGAATCAGGTTGTTTGTCTGAAGTGTTTACCACTCACTGTATTTTCAAGCTGAATTTGCAGCATTTGAGGTTTTCAGAAGCTTCTTTAGCAGCGTCCTGTACTATTGCTCCTTATTCCTTTCCACTTTCCCCTATGCTATGCAATAATCTAAAGATGTTTCCTTCTTTTGTTTACCCATTTAGATTATCACAGCAAAACAAGAAGTCATAAGGTTCTATCCTATGAATTTTTCTTTCCAAGCAAACCATACCTGGATAAATTATCAATCGAACTTGATCCAAGGTAGAGAGTAATTCTTGATTACAATATATCCTTCTTTAAGCTATCTAGGTTGAAGATCATGTGTGTGAGATTGAACAAAGATTGGGTATGGGATTACTCTCTTTTTGTCCCTGAAATCTATTGTATATTCATAAAAGGAGGTTATTTACAAGAACTGTTTCAAACTGCATCCTAGCACAGGAAGGTGGAAATCCGGAGGCAAATAGCCTACTTTGGAGTTTGGATTTTCCATTAAAAAACAGAAATTGTAGATGAACATGAATTAGAAAGATTGTCCAACCAAAAGAAGGAATGTAATCCAGAAAAGAATGATGGCTAGGAAGAAGCAGAAACTTCATTCTGTC